CAGCCTTACAATCCTCCAACCTGTTCTTCACATACTACACCTAGAGTGATCCTTCTCCAATCTGACCACATTTTACTCCCCTACTTAAAACCCTTAATGGTTTTCCACTACCTACAGGATAAAGCCCAAACTCGCTAACAAAGCTAACAAGGTCCGTCTTCTAGGATCCCCTCCAGCCATAGTGAACTTTTAGACCCTTTAATCACCAGGCTCTCTCACCTCTGGATCTTTGCACATGCTGTCCAATCTACATGGAACGCTTCTTCCTCCTCTCTTCCTGACTCACTCCTACCTATCCTTTAGGTATAAGCCTAGATGCTCCACTCCTCCAAAAAGCCTCCCCTGCCTCTTCCCCATCTACGTTAACAGCAACATATAATATGCTTCTGTTGGAAAACATGGTGCTGTAGTGGTTAAGAGCTACAGCTGCTAACCAAAAGGTTGGCAGTTTGAATCCACCAGACACTCCTTGGAAACCCTATGGGGCAGTTCCACCCTGTCCTATAGGGTCACTATGAGTCTGAATCGACTCGACAGCAACAGGTTTGGGTTTTTTGATATTGCACTATATGATAAAGTTTTTATAAGATCCTTAAGAGGGTAACATGATCTATTTCTTCTACTTCTTCTTAGAAATCAGTGCTAAAGTTAGTACAGGAATTACTCCTGAATATGATAAATGCTTGTATTTATCCCTAAAGGGAATATGAAATGACAATAAGATGAATCAGTGGTATATTCATTTAAGAAAAAAAGCAACTTCCATAGCAGATGAAAGAAGTAAGATTTCTACAGTTTAATAAAACATGGTATTTGCAAAATATAGACTATTTGTTGGGAGTCTTTGCTTTTTTATTTGAAATCTTCCCCCATGCAATGTTTGCAGAGATTGAACCTGAAAGACTTAATTCTTATATGAGATAAATTAGTTTGTCATAAAATTTTGTGAGACATTTCAGTCTCAATTTTAAAAAAGAACTTGAGAAAATAAATTTATCTTTACATATGCTAGACTAAAAGAGTGTACAGTACACATACACAAATGCTAATATAAAGAAATGTAAGAACAACATCTAAACATCCATTAACAGGAAACTGCCTGAATAACTTACAGGACATTCATACAATGGACTCATTCAGCCACTTGAAAGAAAAGATAGAGTATATCTACTGATATGAAAAGATGTCTATTATATATTATATGAACAAAAGCAAACTTCAGAACAGCCCTAGAGGTGCAGTGGTTAAATTTTCAGCTGCTAATCAAAAGACTGGCAGTTTGAACTCACCAGCCGCTCCATGGGAGAAAGATGTGGCAGTCTGCTACCGTAAAGATTATAGCCTAGGAAACGCTATGAGGCAGTTCTACTCTATCCCATAGGCTGGCTATGAGTCATAATTGACTTGACGGCAACGGGTTTGTTTTGTTTTACTGGGATAACAAATTTTCTCTAAATTATGTGTGTGTAAAAGAAAAAAAATTCTGAACATATTTAAAAAATTTTTTTCAACAGTCAATTTTATTTTTGGGACAAAAAATATTAACAAGTCACCCATCAAGGCAAAATAAGCCATCGTGTTTAAATAAAGCAAGTCCTTCACGTCACTAATAACGCTTCTTACAGATAAGTTTATGTTGTGTAACAGTAGGCAGAAGTCTCTATATTAGTCAGCACTTAAGCAATACCTAGAATGATTAATGGTCATAATGCTGTAAATTCCTAGGATGCTTCCAATAGCAAAGGTGAAATTACATTTAATGTATCTTATTACATTGTAATGCTTCATAATTTAGTAATTCATTTACAAAAAGTTACTACAAAATAGTAACTTTCTGCTAACCAAACACCTTACTCTACAGCAACATACTCACCTGAGAAAACTTTTTGAGTATTTATAGGGAGAAACACTAAATAAATTAAAGCATAATCATTACCTATATCTTGTAAGCATTAATTACTTTTGATGCATTTCTCAATGACAATTAAATTGCAATTAAAAATGGGGAAACTCAGTGTGAGACAAACTGGCTGACAGACTCAAGTTTCCTCTTCTCCCAAATTCTATACACTACATCACATGACTCACTAGGTATGTAAAGTTATATCTAATAACACAGTATGGAAAGTAACCATAGGAAGAAAAAAGTAATACACACACACACACATACATCTTACTGTAAGAAAGGAAAATATATCAATACATATCAACTTTGTTAGTCCTTTATTTCCCTTATTAACAATGAACAAGCAAAAACTAAATAGAAAAATATAAATTAGGAAACACTTCTGAATTGATCAATTCTACAAACATCATCAGACTCATTTAGTTTCTTATCTCACGGTATATATCTGTCTTGAAAAAAGTACAGTCAGAATGTTCCTTAGGAGGGAAGATGTTGAGACTCTGTCTTACATACTTTGGACATGTTTGCAGGGGAAGGACATCATACTTGGTAAAGAAGAGGGTCAGCAAAAAAGAGGAAGACGCTCAATGAGATGGACTGACACAGTGGCTGCAACAATGGGCTCAAACATAGCAATGATTGTGAGGATGGTGCAGGCCCGAGCAATGTTTTCTTCTATTGTACACAGGGTTGCTATGAGTCAGAACCGAACAACAACAACATATTGTTGACATTATTCTCTTATCACACACTTTGATCAACCATCACAAGTTATTTCTCATTATCTGTTAATTCAAAAAGTGTTCAGAATAAACCCATAACCACAGCAGAAACGAACTTGGGCCATACAAGTAAGTAATCCTGTGTGCTGACGTTGATTAATGTTAGTAATATAAACATGAAGATAGTGTGATCACTACCTTTACCATCGCTAATAGACTTCACAGAAAAGAGTCTGGATGTTGGAGTGAGGCAGTCTGGAGTGAATTCCAGGTTGACTTTAGTTTATAAGTTATTTTCCTTCTATGAGCTTCATCTCCCCATCTCTAAAATGGAGACAACACCAACTACATTGTAGGATTATTGAAAGATCTCACAATAACATAAGTACCTAGAAGACAGTATCTGGCACATTTTAGGTAATAATGTGATTAACAATAATGAGTGCTTACTATGTGCCAAGTAGTGTTTTAAGTGTTTTACATATATTAACTCAACCAATGAATGGTAACTATCATCATGTCTGGCACTGCTTTTACCTTCTGTTTCTCCCTATCCTTTGGTAATAGCTCAAAAAATTTAATCTGATTTAAACAGGATAGAAATAATAATGACTATGTGTCAGGCACTGTGCAAAACTAGCTACATGGATTATGATTATTTCACCTAATCCTCACAACAACTCTCGCATCAATAAAGTTAAGAACCTTCTTTTACGGATTAGGAAATTTTGCTTTAGAAAGATTAAAAGACTTGTTTAAGGTTACATGGAGTCCCTAGGTGGCACAAACCGGCCACTGTTTGGCTACAAGCTGGAAGGTTGGCAGTTTGAACCCAACCAGAGGCATCTGGGAAGACAGACCTGGTGATCTGCTTTCTTGAGTGGCAACTAACAATAAGGTCACATACCAAGTAAAATCTGACTTCAGAGCCCAATGCTTAGTCACTCTGCTAAAAAGAAATACTACTTTTAATTCAATAATGTCAAAGAAAGCAGACAGCTACTATTTAATGCCAGTTGGTTTTTAATGAGTGTTTGAAACAAATGAGTCAGGCAAACATGTATCAGGATCTACGAAAGAAGAGTCTCACTAGAGTTTCCACTTTTTCTGTCTCCTTCCAAAGAGAATCTGAGGTGGTGAGAATTCCAATTCCTAATCATTTAAGTGCCAAGAGAGTGATCAGATAGGGGTTCACAAACTGCTTATCTTCAGAAACAGTAATTATTAGCGCACTCCACACAAACTAAGCAAAACCCAAACTGACCAACACTAAACCAAATCAAATCCATTGCCTTGGAGTCAATTCCCACTAATAGCGACCCTAAAGTACAGAATAAACTGCACCATAGAGTTTCCAAGGCAGTAAATCTTTAGGAAAAAGCCAACTGCCACATCTTTCTTCCGCGGAGCGACTGGTGAGTTGGAACCTCCGACCTTTCAGTTAGCAGCCTAGCGCTTAACCGCTGCGCGACCAGGGCTCCTTCTGACCTAGACTAGGCCTGCAAAAACCATCTTTTTATTTAATATTGACTGGATCAGCTAGCCCTCCCCACCCCCATCGGTACCACAAAGCACTCTAAGTTTATAATATTCAATCCCTTGGTTTGAAAAGATTAGCAAGGAACCCGGGGGTGACTGCATGGCGAAGCACGCTTTCCAACTTCCTCCGATTTCCCGGGCAATCTGCAAGTCTCCCACTTATTTTGCAAGCCTCCCCCATGTAGTCCTCCAAACTGAGGGGTGTCGGTGGGAAAGCATCGTTTAGGGCCTCTAGTTATATTCCCTTGTTCTTTACGTTTGGGAGATCTGGTTTCTGCGTGGACTGGACAGAAGAGAGAAGAGACTGTAAACCCTGCTTTGAACAGAAGCTACTAGAGGACAGATGACTGCGTGGTTTTCTTTACATGGTCAGGGACTTCATCAGTTTATCATCCCGAGGGTGATGATGAGCAATAAAGTGACCTTATCTGTACTAGGCGCTTTGGGGATGAAGGTGCTCATAAAGACCTAAACAACTAGCTTCAGGCTTTGATGCCTCTTTGGTCTTAAAGCTGGGCGGGTAGCGGCTAGGTATCTCTACCCCACGACAACACGCTCACACCTGCCATCCCCCGCACACCTGTGGCCCACTTTCACGCACAAGGGTGGGCAGGTGAAGGCAAACACATCACCTTGACGGCCCCAAGACCCAATCAGAGAATGCAGCCCCCGCAGCGAGCCAATCGCAGCGGGTCTTGCATCCCCCGGGGGCCACCCCCCACCCCCACCAACTCACCGTGTCAACTCTGCGGAGTGCTGAGGACTCCTCCAGGCCCCGAGACGGCGAAGAAAAGTTCGGGAGGAAAAGAGAAAGCACACAGGGTAGTACTCACCAGCCCTGACGCACAAGGGCCACTTCTCCCTGCGGGCAGACATAAAGGTTCAATCAGTGCTGGGTCGCCACGCCCCAGAACAACCGCCTCCGCCGCCGCCTCAGCCTCAGGGTTCGCCACCGCGCGCCGCTGCCTTGTTCGAAGGGACCAATCAGGAGCCGGAGAGAGGGCGTGGGGTGGAGGCCTCGCCCCCGGCTGCTAGGGAGCACGAGACCCGCGCGCGTCTTGTTTGTCTGGGGGCGCCCACACAGGCCACAGCCTAGGGGTTTACGCCTTGCGACTCTTGGTCTGGTGTCTCGGGAGCTCTGGTGGCCAGATCCTGCTTTTCACTGAAAGGCAAAGTGACTTGGTCAGAGAGCAAAGTCTCCCACCTGCCCACTCAGCGACAGCCCGTTATTGGTCCGGATAGGCAGGAGAGTTGAGTCTATCTCGCTTCAACCCTTTGGTGTTACAAAGATTGCTTCTTAGGGTCCTGGAATGTTGCCGGGTGGAGTTTACGGGCGTTTCCCTGAGTTTTATCTGAGCTGTTAAGAGCTCCTCCCAATTCTCCACTCCGGATCTGGCTGTACTGATCGCGGCCCTGTTTCTAGGGTCCTAAGGAGAGAACCCTTTCAGAGAGAATCTGAGGAGGTAGGAGATGAGGCATAGAGAGGAATCTTGTAGCTCCGGGTAACCTGAAGCAAAGGGAGGATACTGACTCTTCCTCGTGGGAACATCAGAGCCATACTCACACACAAAAGTTAACCACAACGTTATAAGGGATTCTTACTAGCCTCAGAGTTGAGATGAAGCGGAGATTGGACATGAATGTAGTGATAGCTAGGTCTGTGATAACTATAAATACGACTTGTTACTAGCGGGGGGAAAAAAATCACCTGCTGAAAGCCAGAAAGCCTGAATTCTAGCCCTGTCCCTTTCTCGCTTGTTAACTTTTAAACCTTTGTCAAATCACGTCTCCTCTCTGGGCCTCAGTTCCCCATCTGTAAAGTGTGGGATTGAACTGGAACAATGGTCTCTCTCTAGCATTGGTTCCTTGGTTCATGAAACAAAAATACAACGAGGACATACCATTGCTTGTTGAAGGGTCTAAAATGAAGAAGACAGGCCCTGTCTTCAAAGTGCTCACAACAGCATAGTGAAGGCTAACTGGAAGCCTGTGGAGGTCTGTGAAGGAGGAAACACCTAACAGTCTTGAAGGGCGATGGTGTGAGGTTTGAAGGAGCTAAATTTTGAAGAATGAATCGGGATCTACCAGGAGGGAGAAGTAATTGGGAGTAAGGGGTGCTTTCCAGGCAGAAGGAAGAACAAATGCAAGATTCCAGAGATTTGACAGCAGCTGGAATTTTCTGGAAATAGTACTTTTGGATGACTAAAGTTTGGGAACAGGGAGCTAGATCATGCTGGGGGAGTGGTCGCAAGCGCAGGTCCTGGTAGGTGTGGTAAGGAGTGTAGATTCTTGCAGCCAATTGGGATTGATTTTAAGGAGAGGATGGTACGTACACAGATTTGTGTTTTAAAAAAATAAATATATAGCTGAGGATTTTTGGAGAAAGGAGTAAGTCTGGTGACAGTTTCAAAAAGTAAAAGATGACAGATAGCTACACTAGCTCAAAAGGGATAGTGAGGAAGAGGTGTCTGTCTGACACTATCTAAGAGACTGACTTATCTGGACTTGGTTATCATGTGATGGTGGTGCCAGTACAAGGAATATAGGAAAAACAAGCTGTGGGGGTAAGAATAATGCATTTTGGTCTGGGGTGTGTTGAGTTTCAAGTGTCAGAGGAACGTGCAGGTAGAGATGTTCAGAAGATAGTTGGAAAATTAGTCTAAAGCTCTTTAAATTTATCTGTGCAGGAGATACAGATTTGAGAAGTCAGTTCAACAAATATTATTCAGCACTTACTCCGTTCTAGGCTCTGTGCTAAGCACAAGTGATCTTGCTCTCATGGAGCTTACATTCTGGGGTAGGTGGGTGAAGATGGTTATCTAAAAGCTATCTGAAGTTGAACCTGAGGCCAGACAAGTCTTCTTTTTCACTGAAGTCGATCCCAGATACTTTGCTGCCTGTGATGGCAATCCATCCATTTTCAGAGAACCTATTTTTGTTCAAATCAACCTATGTTTAATAGTCTTGCTATTTAAAACTGAATGGCAGTTTGTCATACTACCTTATTTAGCTAAATTTCAGGTTGAGTTGGATGTGTTGAACCTTAACATCAAAATATGTACACTTTTATACAGGACCTTAATAAGTAAGTTGTGTTATACTGATCTTGTTTGATGAGTTATTAGTTGTCAACAGGGCTTTTTTTTTTTCCTTACGTGCATTCTCTGTACCTAAACATTTTAATGCCATTTATTAAAAAAAGCCATAGAAACTATGCTATATGAGGTATGTACATAAACATGGTCTGCCTCTCTTGCTCTCACGTGTGCGCGCACACACACACACACACACACACACACACAATATTTCTAAGGCATTTTCTGAAAACTTGGCCTCAGGGTAAATTTTTATGTTTAATTTCTTTTTATTATCATTGTCTATTTTGTTTGACTTGGTAAATTCTCCACCTTATAAAGAGATGGGACAGTGTGGCAGAAAGTGAATCTAGAGTCAACTAATCTGTGCAAATCACTTTCTCTCTAAGGCATATTCTTCACTGGTTAAATATGGGAATTGGATGAGGAATTCCCTTCTAGATTCTTTGATTCTTCTTGCTTTTCTCTTCTGTATATAAAAAAGTTCCCCTTGTTGCTTTCTCAACCCCACTTTTCCCTTAACTCCCAGTTAGTACCACACTCCCTAACCACACTCACCAGCTACTTAGCTATCTTGATTTTAAGACTGCAATTAGTAATTGAGGGTTATTTCTGAGGGTTATTTCTAAGGGTTGCAAGCTACTTTCATGTGTGCACTTTCTAATTGGTGGTTTGGTTAATAGTCATATTTTAAAGGTTCTCTCTTGAAATTAGCATGGTTGTAACATGCAGAGCAAGCCTCACCAGTTTACTTCCATCAGATGACAAAGTCTTAGTTCTGACTATCCCAGAATTGTGAAGATGTGGCCCACTTTAAGAAAGCACCGAATTTGGTATTCTAAATTTTTAAAAGTTATTACATTACATTAGGAATAATCATTCATCTGACTAAAAAGTTATACAAAATACAAAAGGATCTCTAATAATCACAGAACACGTAGATATTAAAATATGATTTGGCTTTTTTATAGCCCTACAATAATGCTTCTATTGCTTAACACACCATAGCCATTGGATTTTTGTTTGTTTTTGTTTGGTTTATTACTTGCTTTGTTCTGCTTTTTTTTTTTGTTGCTGTTATTGTTATATTGTAAATGGTTTTGTTGTTGCTGGGTGCCATTGAGTTGCTCCAGCTCACAGAGACCTTATGTATAACAGAATGAAACCTTTGGTCTTGTGCCACCCTCACAATCATTGTTGCTATGTTTGAGACCATTGTTGCAACCACTGTGTCAATCCGTTTCATTGAGGGTCTCCCTCTTTTCTGCTGACCCTCTGCTTTACCGAGTATGATGACTGTCATAGTTTGAATTATGTCCCCCAAAAAATGTGTGTATCAGTTTGGCTAGGCCATGATTCCTGGTACTGTGTGATTTTCCTGTATGTTGTAAACCTGCCTCTATGATGTTAATGAGGGAGGATGGGTGGCAGTTGTGTTAGTAAGGCAGGACCTGATCTACAAGACTGGATTGTGTCCTGAGGCAATCTCTTGACATATAAAAGACAGAAGTGAGCAGAAAGACAGGGGGACTTCATACCATCAAGAAAGCAGTGCCTGGAGCAGAGCGCGTCCTTTGGACCGGGGTCCCTGCACAGAGATGCTCCTAGTCCGGGGGAACACTGAAGAGAAGAAGGCTGACAGAGAGAAAAAGACTTCCCCTGGAACTGATGCCCTGAATTTGGGTTTTTAGCCTACTTTGACTATGAGGAAATAAACTTCTCTTCATTAAAACCATCCACTTGTGGTATTTCTGTTATAGCAACACTAGATAACTGAGACAATGACCTTCTCCAGGAATTGGTCCCTCCTGATAACATGTTCAAAGTACGTGAGACAAAGTCTTGCCATCCTCGCTTCCAAGGAGCTTTCTGGCTGTACTTCTTCCAAGACAGATTTGTTCATTCTTCTGAAAGTCCATGGTAGATTCAATTCTTCACCAACACCACAATTAAAATGCATCAATTCTTCTACGGTCTTCCTTTCTTATTGTCCAGTTTTCATATGCATATGAGACAATGGAAAATGGTTTTAATGGTTTGAAGTACTGGGTGAGATCTTTGGGCAATAGAGGTCTTCACTCATTCACAATTAAGCTACTTATTCAGCAGATAATCTGGTTAATGCCAACTGCGCTTAAAGCAATACTAAACTCTATTCTAAAGGAATGTTACAGATTTGTATTAACCAATATTATGTATGAGTAATCCAATGGCTCATTCAATGATATGTAATTTTATGATGACAACAGTTGTGGTTAATACTAAAATGTAGTGTTATACCTATAGCTGGAGAGAGATGTAGAAATCTGACAACATAGCAAGAATGTGGCTTGTAATAATAAGCATTGATTTTTCTTACATGTGGATCCGCAAGTTAGCTCTTGGTGGAGAGGAAGGGTGCTTCTTGAAGCTGTAGGTTGGGTTTAGGTCTGCTCCTTCTGTCTCTAATTCTGGGACTTGCAGCTATCCAAGGTATGTTCTTCTCACAGCAGATGGTGGAAGTGCAAGAGCAGCAAACAGAAACACATGATGTGTTTTAAGACCTCAGCTCTTAGAACTGGCACATTGTCACTTCCACCCACATTCTATCGGCCAAAGCAAGTCTCATGGACGCTCATCAATGGGTGTGGCTATTTGTTCTGCCTACTCTCGGAATAGGCACAGCAAATTCACAAGGCAAAGGGCCTGAATGTATGTATAATTCTATTACAGGGAGAGTAAAGAATTTGGAAAAAATAATATAACACAGGCGAATGACTGGCACAGCCTGTCTCCTAACAATACTCCCACAATAC